CTAAAAACAGCTTGCAAAATCTGCACATCTGTTATCTTCAGCCTTGGGAAGCCCTCCCCTTCTTTCCCAGTCCATAATATATGTGGCTGTCCAATCACAGCTCTCCACATGCATCTCAATTCTAAGTCTTTGCAAGGCAGGTGCTCTTGGCAATTGCCTGTCTCTTGAGTTTAGCTTGACTGAGCTAAACTGCCAGAATGTAACAGGACTAGTTCTATGATTGACAGCCAGTTCTTGTGCAAGGTTAATTTATAATAGTGCCAATTTCTATGGAAATCTGCACTTTTTTTAATGAAAAAAAGGGAACACTCTTCACATATAAGCAAGTTAAAGGGCTTTAGGTGTGTGGAGTGTTTCTATAAAGCGCTACTCCAAGTACCAAGACCATGTCAGAGTTTTGAAGAGTGCTGCACACGACTTTTATAAGCTATCCTGGAATGAGAGTGAATGTTTTTTTTACTAGGTAATTTGGTCTGAATTCTCCACACCTAAGGTGATTTATATGAACCCCATATTACCAATGGAGGTACCTGCCACATGTCTACTAACATATTAAAACTAGTGACTAGGCAACCATTGCTACCAGGTGGCTAGAAAAGACCCACTCCAATGAAGATGGGGAGTTTGAAATAGGAGGGTGGTGGACATAGTGGAAATCAGATGGGGTCTTGTATATATGTAATCTGTCCACTTCTTGTTCCCATTCATGTCCAGCAGATAAGGATATGTTATAAAATAAAATGTGGGTGTGGGGTATCCTTATGTCCGCCTACTCTTGGTCAGCAGGTGGGGCTATTATAATATACAGGGGTATGACCTAGTGTTCCTTCTTTCCCACACCAATCAGTGGTGGGTGGGGACACTAATAATTACAATCTGGGGAGGACCTAATATACCCCCAGCCCACTCATGGAGATCATATGGATATGGTGTTTACTGAATAACCCAAGAGTTACAATTTTATGAAGTGGATGTATCTGAATCACTTGGGTTATCTCTCTATTATTATTATTTTTTTGAGCAGCAAGTCTTTTTTTTCACACCATTCATTTTTAAAATACTTTTGTTACTTTCAGTCATAGCTATAATATTTAATGTGGATTGTCAACTGTAAACTATTCATTGCTCCAAGCAGATTTTCATTTTACTCCAAAGCTTTCATTTAAAAACATATACCTTCCTTTATTAAAAGCCTTAAAAAGAGCTATAATCTATAGCTCAGAGAACTTGCTTATTGAAGTTATTATGGAAAATCGACAGATGTCATGCCTCCAAAAAAAAGTCTTGGTTTTCAAATATATATGAGTTCAAAGTATTTTATTATACTGCTGCCTCAGTTTTAGTGATAATATTGTGGGAGCATGAACTCATAAAACATTAGATTATGAGAAACAAAAGAATTTGAGAAATACAAATTAAGTATTTTGTCTCTTCAGCATTTGAATTTTATTTTATTAAGAAATATAACTTTGTACTGTGAGCAATTCCTGATGCAACTAATGAAAAAAAATAATGAATTCACAAAAACAGCCAAAGAAAATTAAAACCTCACCACAACAAAAATGTTTTCCGTTCTCATTGACAGACTGAGCTCTGATAGCAAGGGACAGGCTTTTATATAACTTTTATATAAACTATTGCACTTAAGTCAGAGCCCTCTGATTTGTTTTCTTACTACCCAACTAATCAAAGTGCACTTGCTCATATGGCAAATTAAGGGAAATTTTAAAGTAATAGCACAGAAAAACAACATGGTTTTAATTCGTATGGCTTTTTTTGTGGTTCAGTTTTTTTTTAATATTAAGTAATTATAGATTTTTATTTGGTCTCTTTTTAGGGGTTTAGAACAGATGAAGTAGAAGTAAGAATATTATAGAATAACATATTTTAGATTTATTGCCCACCCTTCACTATAAATAGAGCAGGGATGGTAGGTAGTTATTTACTTTTATTGATGGATGGCTAGGGGATTTGGATTTCTTTACCACCCAAGGGGGATAAGTTGGAGTGGGACATACTACTATTTGGGGAGTGGACAATAAGAATGCCAATCCACTCTTATTTAATTAATTAGCGTCCCCACCCAGTGCAACCTCTAGGTCCTTCTCCTGAATATTATCATTAGGGTGAGCAGGGCAGAGGGAGGGCCTTAGATCCTCCGTCATTAATATTAATTTTAGTGCCCTCACCCATTGCCTATAGATGTGGGATGGGGGATGTTAGAATTATGGGTGGGGATTGAGGGGGATATTAGGATCTTCCCACTAATTATTATTAATAGGGCCTTCTCCTAAAGCCTCTTCTAATTATTATTTAATAAGTTCAGTCTGTATTTCAGCTGTCCAGTGGCATCAGTCCAGCTCAAATCAGGACCAAATTCAGGCCCATATGGGACCTGAATTAAAAAATCCAGACACTGTTCAATTGCATGAACAATGTTTGGATTTTGCAGTACGAATTGATCTGTACACAGCCCCATTCAGTACGTGGCCATTCGGACTGTAGTAATTAACCCTGTAAATAATTAATAAGTGTAAGCATAAAAAGTGCTTTTGATTTTATTTACTGTCTAAACTTAGTGTTAAGATGTCAATCAGAATTTTTTTGGGGGGGTTTGAGATTTTATATAGATTTTCTCTATTAATCAAGCTTTCTAATCCATTTTCCTTTCTGTGTTTGACTTGGATTTATTTGATACTTTTCATGAAAGCCCTCAACAGAGGCTAAATTAAAACTTATGGTGGTAGACTAATTTGTCTGAGTTTAGTGGGTCGTCTTATTAAAAAACTCCACAGTTCCATATGGAAGCATGTTTATGATTGATGGGAAAAAAAGATGACTGATGTGCAGGGTACAGCCACTAAATGTTGTTTATTCACAGACCAGTTACTTTTTATCACTTGATCTGGGAACAAAAGTGTGCAGAAATACTACTTATTTATATTCTGAATATATTTTGAAGTGCACTGATACATTTCCATATAATTTTAGTTTATCAGAATAATTTTCCAAATAGTTTGCATGGGCACTATTCGGATGAGATGAGCCACCACATGGACAACTACTATCTATTAACCCAAAACTGAATTTTATTTTTGGACAAAGGAATTTGGCTGAACCACAATTTTCACCAATACTCAAGCATGGTGGTATAGATGTTGCATTGACAATATCAAGCCAATGTTCATGTAAATGTATTTGAGATTGAGTTTATGTAGATGGAGATTTTATAGTTTTTTTTTACTATTCTTTTGTACACTTATCTACAAGAAACAAACCTCGTAAGCAGATAGCAGCAAACAACAACATTTAGGTTTTTGACGGGCCCTATTTAATTACCTTCCCCCTCTTAGAATACAAATTGGAGGAAGTGGGGATTCCCCTTTGGTTCCTGTGGCCACCCATTTTTGTCAGTTCCTTCCTATCTCTTCTTTTTATGATAACCACAGGATAATTCACTTTGATTAAACAGAGTTCACATTGTGTTTTCTTTTGTTTAGTGGTTTATGTGAACTTATTTCAGTGCTAGGGTAGAATTATTGCACACTTTACCTTTTTTTAACTATAGCAAAGAAGGAAAGTAATGTATGTGTGGCTTAGGACCTACATAATTAACTCCAAGTGTACATGAATTCAGTTGACATGAGGCTGGGTTGCTTTTAATACTTTGTGTGTTGATAGGCACTGGGCTTAAATATAATTTTATTGTGTCATTTGATTCATGTAATTGATTTTAGCAGCCAGAGAGTGGTCAGGTCACTTAAATGGTGATTATAGAATATAGAATAGGCAATATTTTTCCTGTGGCAACAGTGATATTCCCGGATTTAAATCCAAGTTATATTTTGATTCAATAAAAAAAATCCATGTGACCGGTCAAATCACACAAATCAAACGTTTGCATTCTTGTGTATGCTTTTATCAATATCTTTTTTTTCACATTAAAGCCTTTTTTAATAAATTACTGCCCTATCTAATAAAACCAGTAGAACCTCTCACCAAATTACCAAAATGTATTTCCTGTTCATGGACATGACTGTATAAAATTCACTTTTTTAAGCTTAACATATTTTTTCAGCAATTCTTGTGAAAAATGTAGCTTACCATATTTCTTTGACCAATATATGAAAACTCTGAATAAAGTAACAGTCAAGCAATAAATAATGACATCACATGCCCTGCAGAATTGTAGAATGTCTTGGTAATTAATCAGAAGCTTCACTTTATTTTTAACATCCTTTTATTTAGTGAATATCTTTTAAGCTCAATATTGTATCTTCTAATTATAAAACATGTCAGTATGCAAATTCATCTGAGATATCTAAAAATCATTACCGCTATAGATTACATTAAACAATGTATCTCTTGAGAATCCATTTCTGCTTTTCTCTGGTGATTAACTGTGTGCCCTGTTCTGTTATGAAACAAACCAAATGGCTTTTGAACACTGTAGTATGAAACTTAACAAGCTTGATAATTAATAAATAACCTGAACACTTACAGTATCCCATAGTGATGTGTCTCAGGCCGCAGAAGCTCAGTTAACATATGCAGCAAAGGAATTCTTTAATTGGCTTGGTATTATCAAATTATATAACTAATAAAGCTGTCAGAAAAGTTAAGTTTCCCCCTGGACAGATAAGGAAGGAGTAGCATGACTGTTGCCCATGGTTGATGGGCTGGATTAAAAGTTGCAACAATGTTTCAAGATATGGAGGAGTTTTGTATGGAGCAGAGGGGAGCAGTTGAGGGACCCTGACTGAAATTCTCTCCCCTGACTGTGCTATTGTGCCTTCTTGTGCCTAAAATGAGAAGGGAACAGTGTCCTCTCTGAGCTGACAAGTGGTACAGATTGCCACCGGGATCATGGCCACCCCATCCATGGATACTCTCATAATGCTGCCGCAAGCTTACCAGGATGCTTATGGACAAGGGTCCCTTGAGCAAGTTATTTCTGGGGTGCAGCAGGCAGTGGGGACATGCGAGGATGGACATCGCAGGCACCAAGAGGCTGGGACAAGCCAGGAAAAGGCACAGCGGAACAAGCCACGAAACAACAGACAGCCGTGGGTCCTCAGTGTTGGAGGAACAAGGTTCCAGTTTACAGTCTGAGTCAGAAGAGGAAGAAGAGGAGATCCTGCTCCCACCTGCAAGCGTGGGCCTGGCAGCCCTTACCATGTGAGTACTGCGTTAGCACATGGGATGCACTTGCGGGGGCTGTTGGGGGGCTTCACTGCAGGCTAGTCAGGGTCAGGGGGAGGTAGCCACTTTATTAAGGTCTTTGTTGGCTAGGCTCACTGGGGCGGACTCCCTTGCTCAAGGTTCCAGTGATGGGTGGGGGAGGTGCCTCACGGGTGTCAGAAGGTATGGAACGTGAATCATGGTTTTTGTGCCATAGTCTACCGGGCTGCAAGCTATATCCCCTAGGGTTGCCTGTACCCAAGGACGTCAAGGACAAGATTGTGCGGGGTGAGTACGTGGATCTGCTGTCCTTGGTCCCTCCGGACCAGGGAATCTGTTAATAGACCACAGCATGGAGACATGGCAGAAGACGAGAAGGGTAACTGGCTGCAGGGGGTTTCAGTTTTTGCCAAAGCCTTCATGCTTCAGAGCTGATAGGTAACTTTACATTCCTGTTGTTCCCCATCGTAGTCGAGGTTGAATTGTGGCACTCCCCTTTAATTCCTTATGAGTAAAATTAAATTAATATGAGTAGAATAAAGAAAGGGATGAGAATAATACATCAACTTATCAATTGTTAATTGATGAATTGATGCTTTCCTATGGACTGGCTGAATGCGCGCATGGCTCTTGCTCAGCGCTGAGGGAGCCCAGCACTGGAGAAAGGTGAGTGTTTAACCCCCTTCCTCCCCCTTCAGGCCGGCAGGAGTGGGACCCTGTGGGTGGGGGCACCTTCAGGGCACTATAGTGCCAGGAAAACTGGGTGAGCATCTAACGGAGGAGGGAAGCGAGTTCCACAGGAATGGTGCAGCCTTCGAGAAATCTTGAAGGTGAGCATCAGAGGTGGGAGTACGGACAGAAGATAGACGTAAGTCTTCAGCAGATCGTAAGGGCCTAGACGGGACATACTTGTGTATAAGGGAGGATAGATAGGTGGGAGCAGCATTATGTAGAGATTTGAAAGCAAGAACCAGAATTTTAAATTGAGCTCTATATTTTATAGGAAGCCAATGTAGGGATTGACAGAAGGGTGAGGCATGGGAGGTACGGGCGGACAGGAAGATGAGCCTCGTCGCCGCATTCATTATGGACTGTAACATTGCACTAGAGCAACATTTGTCATTACTTTGACAGCCTCCAGGATAGAGAAATTGCAAAGTGTTAATTATGTTGCAAGGAATTGATAAGGAGGAGAGTGATGGAGCATCTCACTAATTTTGTTATGAAGTACATCCACAAAGACATCACAAGTCTGCATTACTAAGGTAAGTAGAAGAAAGACAACGTACTAGGGTAGACTGCAGGTCCATTGGTACTATATCAGATACTGCACAACCAACTGCCACCATAAGTACCTCCTGCAGCACTATGATCCTTGAGCAGAGCATAGGGGTTATTGAGCATGAACTAAAGTGTGCTATACTGATTTTTTTTCCAACCAAATTGGTTTGGAAGAACTGATTTTTTTACATCTTGCAAAAGTCTTGTTGATACCTAGTAGGATCACATAAGACATTTCTTCTCAATACCACAGGTATACCAAGTAACCAAGCCATGTTCCTATTTTATTTCCTCAAAATTTTTATTAATTATTATTATTAAATATAAAAGTATTGCATTTACACCTAAATGGATCATTCAGATACAGTTTATAATTATTGGAGAAAAATAGAAGCTTTCATTTAGATCAGAAGAAGAGAAAGTTTTCAATTTAAATATCCAAAAAGATTCCCATTTTGTAAGCTTAAGGCTCCAATCTCCTTTTCTAGGTCCCTGTCATACCAGCTTAATCTTATAAAAAATTGAGTTGCCTTGAAATTGTAGTTTCACTTGATGTCTTACTAGAACATGCTCCATGATCCTCATTTAAAATGATCTAAAGTTTCACACACATACTTGAGGCTACAGGAGCATGCAATCAGATATACCAATCCGGTCAATCTACTGTTAAAAAAAAAAAAAAATACTTTTAAACTGTTGGGAGTTAATTCAGTTTCCAAATGTGTCCATACTGATATGCACATTCTGGGATTACCATGTATGTTCACATTATTCTGCAACATAATGACTTGCCATTTCCACATCGTGTATATTTCTATTGTTATAAGAGATAATATTGATTTTAGGAGAAAATGCCACGTGTAGATGCAAGTTTTATTATAATACCAGCCAAATGCATTTGAGAAGTGCATGCATTCTCTCCATCCTAAATCAGACAGACCAGCATAATAGTGGAAGATTCAAAATTTTCAGAGTAGATCTGAATGATTTATAAGCAAAACTATTTTATAAGACATGTTCAGACACCTGTTAGGCTATCCTCATCTTTTGAAATATTTTTGAAATGATTTAATTCTTACATAGATGAGCAATGTCTTTGTAAATGCAGACATTGCACTAAGAGTATACCTCCTGGGTAAAAACTTGACCATTTAAGAAAGCTGCTAGTAGCTGTAGTTTTTATATGCAAGGACATGGATATGTTCACTTTATCATTCTTCATAATGGAAATATCCAGAAAACTGAGTTGCTGTTCCTGAAATTAATGTGTTAAATTTATATTGAGATTGTACACATTTAGGGTTTTCACAAACTTCAAAAATTGTTTACTAGACCCTGTCCACACCGCCACAATACCATTAATAAAACATTTCTACATGTAAAGGAATATGTTAAATTCAAACACATCAGGGTGGAAAACTATCTATCTGTCTCTCCCATCACTCCAGGTGTAGATTGCTTTAGGATGGAACACAAGATATCCCCAATACATTGACCTGCACCTGGTAGTAAATTGTACCATTAAGCAGAAAGAAGTTATAGGTGATGGTGAACAGGAGTTTCATATGATTATGAAATCTGATGTCCATTTTATTCAAAATAGAAATATGTTTGATGTAATCCTTGTGAGGGATAGAGCTATAAAGTAGTTTCACATAGTTTGCACTTCTAAGATGATCATGGAAAATATTAACTATATTCAGACCTCAAGATAAACTACAATTACATATTGTTTTAACACTATGCATGGAGGTAAAAGAAATAAAATCGTTTTTTGTGGCATTGACTTGGTTAGAGAGGGGTCTATAAAAAGGAGATTGGGGCCCTAAGCTCTGAAAATGGGAATCTTTAATCTTGAATATTAAAATTTAACACCCTCTCTCCAATGTACCTAAATGGCTTTTTTAAAAATCTTTTTATTTTTGCATCTGAATGATCCATGTAAGTATATGTATGACACTATTATCATTAGTAGTAGTAATAATAATAATAATAATAATAATAATAAAAGTCTTATTAAAAAAAAAAAAATAATGCAATAGTTACTTTTGTGTATCTGGGCAAAGGTATGGGGATGTGAGTGAAAATTTAACATGTGTTAGGTATTCATTTTTTTGGCTGTAAAGGTTTACTAAAGTGAAAATTCAAACTGAATTTAAAATTTAAAGCCTGAGTAGATGAACTAAAGCATAGCTGCCTTTGATATTTTTTGTAGTTTGACTATTTTGACCTTAAATTTGTAATTCCCTTTCAATTATCTTTCCATTCTCACTTTAGTAAATAACCTGCATATGTATTTTCACCTTTTTCCTGTTGATTAGTTAAGGCAGTTGAATGAGCACTCATACATGTTTGTAAATATAGTGACTAACCAAATTTGATTGATGTCCATTTAGTTACATACTACCAGTATGGATTTATTTCATCCCTGAAAGATTGGGAAAATAGTGCTGTGAAATGTCTTTCACTCTTGCATTTGTTATAAGTCATTTGGTATTCACATGGTATTCTATTTTTATTTATGTTTGTTTCTTGAATTAAATAAATAAATGTCTGCCATATCATATCACTATTGTTACTCTTTTTATATTTCATTAGTAAGGAAAAAATTTACTTTTGAGCATTTCATTCATGTTTAGCATGGTGTTTAGGTTTAGAATTATACTGTATCTTTAAGAATGAGAAGAAAACTATTTTTCATATGAAGCTGCAAATTTGTTTCTTATATAGATTCCAATTTAGAGTGAGTCCTAAAATATGAACCAGCAGGATTATTGGTGCAATATTGTAAAAAAACAACTTCTTTTTCTCAGTGAGCTTTTTCAGCTTCATAGTGAATCCACCTTTGATAACTGTGATTATGTGTGTTTTCCAATCTTCTACGAGGGTGGAAAGTTGCCTCTTTAATTTTTCACAGAGATTTAGCCTTAGGGCTTTTTAGCTACTAATGAAGTATTGTTAACAGGCAGTAGAAGGTTATTCAAATGTTGCTTTGTTTGAAATATCTCTGGGTAAATACCATAGTGGCACGAAATGCATTAGGCAGATAAATCTAAGTGTGGTGGACTTTTCTAGCTGGCCATGACTCTTTACATGCTTATTTTTTAATTTTGCAATAAACACTACTATTATATGTCTTATTTATTTGAGCTGATAGGGGGATTTCCCCACTCTGTGAGTGGGAGTCCAACTTCTGATGTCAATTGGAATGTCTTGCAGCCCTCTTTTTTTGATAATGACCTCGGTTTTAATTTTCCACACACCAGCCATTGATTGTAATGGTTCTTCTATGATTAGTATATGGAAATTTGTCTATTTTTTGGTATATTTATATATATATAATATATAAAAACAAAACCAAGAGGGCTTCACTCACCTAAACATGCATATATATATATGTAAAACATAGGCTAGCACTCACGGTCTTGTAGTTAAAAAGTAGAAATTTTTATTCGGTTATTCCATAAAATCTTGATGTTTCAGCTCACGTCCGGGGCTTTCCTCAGGAGTAACAAACAACAACAACATGCCACCCCTGGGGATGGTCGTCAGGGGTGTATACATGACACCTAGATTTTTGCACAGCAACTATCCTGACATGTGGGTAAGCACATGCAGCCCCAGGGAAAGTTAAGTTTAAATGTAGGTTTTTTTTCTATGTTGTTATTTGGGTCCCTGGGGTGGAGTATTCGGAAGGGCAGGGTGGACCGGTTCTCCACC